TGTCCACATAGACACCATGTCCACACAGACACCATGTCCACACACAGACACCATGTCCACATAGACACCATGTCCACACAGACACCATGTCCACACACAGACACCATGTCCACATAGACACCATGTCCACATAGACACCATGTCCACACACAGACACCATGTCCACATAGACACCATGTCCACACAGACACCATGTCCACACAGACACCATGTCCACATAGACACCATGTCCACACAGACACCATGTCCACACACAGACACCATGTCCACACAGACACCATGTCCACACAGACACCATGTCCACACACAGACACCATGTCCACATAGACACCATGTCCACACAGACACCATGTCCACACAGACACCATGTCCACACACAGACACCATGTCCACATAGACATCATGTCCACATAGACATCATGTCCACACAGACATCATGTCCACACACAGACATCATGTCCACACAGACACCATGTCCACACAGACATCATGTCCACACAGACATCATGTCCACACACAGTCATCATGTCTTCAGTGTGTCCAGATATCACCATCCATCCATCCATCCATCCACCCATCCATCCATCCACCCATCCATCCATCAACAAACCATTCATCCATCATCCATCCATCCTCCATCCATCCATCCTCCATCCACCCCCTCTGACCACCACCAGAAACCAAGGTGGGTGAAGTGTCTCGCCCAAGGACAACCACTGACACAGATTTAGTGGGGGTTTGAACYGGCAACCCCACCAGTTACAGGACAAACCCCTACCTGTCAACATGATGTCTACACCTGTCTGTCTCATCCCAGAGTCCTAAAGACACTTGTTCCGAGGACACTTCTGTCCTGTCCTTAGGAAAGACACAAACCACTATGGTGGTCATAATGTTTTGTCTCATCACTGCAGCTGGCAGCTGATTGGTCAGACAGCCAAGAGAAGATGTGACATCATCTGATGTCATCAGGTAGTTAGCGAAACCATTTCTCAGCTTCATCACTCCTCATCCTCAACCAGCTGTGATGAAGACAAAGTCGGACGGTTGGACTGTCCATCAGACAGGTGACACCTGGTCTGACACGCTCACAAACGTTCTGACACGTTCACGCTCGTTCTGACACGTTCACAAACGTTCTGACACACTCACGCTCGTTCTGACACGCTCACAAACGTTCTGACACGCTCACGCTCATTCTGACACGTTCACAAACGTTCTGACACGCTCACGCTCGTTCTGACACGCTCACGCTCGTTCTGACACGTTCACAAACGTTCTGACACGCTCACGCTCGTTCTGACACGCTCACAAACGTTCTGACAAGCTCAAAAACATTCTGACACGCTCACGCTCGTTCTGACACGCTCACAAACGTTCTGACACGCTCACGCTCGTTCTGACACGCTCACAAACGTTCTGACACGTTCACGCTCGTTCTGACACGTTCACGCTCGTTCTGACACGTTCACGCTCGTTCTGACACGTTCACGCTCGTTCTGACACGTTCACG